GAACAATTGAGCCTCAAATTTGACTTTTAGTCCAAATTTTGTCAGAAATTTCAAATTCAATTTGCTCAAAAACTATAATTCTGAAAATATTGTAAATTACAGGCCATTTAGAGCTTGATAAAAGCTACAAATTCTGGAAATTTTAATGCAATTTGCTCAACCGTTATCGAGCAATTGAGGTTTGAATATTTTGAAATCAGAATTCAAAGGGGTTACCCCTATGAAAATTTCGATTTTTTTATTTTTCAGTTTTGCTCAATTTTGACTTCATTAATCGATAAAGCGGGTCAAAATTAGTGGAAAACAACCCTGACATCAATTCTAAATGACCATTTTAAGCAGTAACAAAAATAAAAAGGAAATCCTATTTTTGGCTCTGGAGAATTTCAAAATCTTGACATGGTCATGAACAATTGCCCATATCCTTGGTAAATTTTGAGCAAATTGAATTAAATTATATACTATTGGAAAGAGCATTAAATTCTCTATAAATCGGTGCAAAATTGAGTTTGATAGCTCAAATAGTTTTAGAGAAATTGAGCCTCAAAATTGACTTTTAGTCTAAATTTTACTCAATTTGTACAAAAACTATAAATCTGGAAATATTGTAAATTACAGGCCATTTAGAGCTTGATAAAAGCTACAAATTCTGGAAATTTTAATGCAATTTGCTCAACCGTTATCGAGCAATTGAGGTTTGAATATTTTGAAATCAGTGTTCAAAGGGGTTACCCCTATGAAAATTTCGATTTTTTTATTTTTCAGTTTTGCTCAATTTTGACTCCATTAATTGATAAAGCGGGTCAAAATTAGTGGAAAACTACCCTGACATCAATTCTAAATGACCATTTTAAGCAGTAACAAAAATAATAAGGAAATCCTATTTTTGGCTCTGGAGAATTTCAAAATCTTGACATGGTCATGAACAATTGCCCATATCCTTGGTAAATTTTGAGCAAATTGAATTAAATTATATACTATTGGAAAGAGCATTAAATTCTCTATAAATCAGTGCAAAATTGAGTTTGATAGCTCAAATAGTTTTAGAACAATTGAGCCTCAAATTTGACTTTTAGTCCAAATTTTGTCAAAAACTTCAAACTCAATTTGTGCAAAAACTATAAATCTGGAAATATTGTAAATTACAGGCCATTTAGAGCTTGATAATAGCTACAAATTCTGGAAATTTTAATGCAATTTGCTCAACCGTTACCGAGCAATAGAGGTTTGAATATTTTGAAATCAGAATTCAAAGGGGTTACCCCTATGAAAATTTCGATTTTTTTATTTTTCAGTTTTGCTCAATTTTGACTCCATTAATTGATAAAGCGGGTCAAAATTAGTGGAAAACTACCCTGACATCAATTCTAAATGACCATTTTAAACAGTAACAAAAATAAAAAGAAAATCTTATTTTTGGCTCTGGAAAATTTTTAAATATTGACATGGTCATGAACAATTGCCTACATCTTTGGTAAATTTTGAGCAAATTGAATTAAATTATATACTATTGGAAAGAGCATTAAATTCTCTATAAATCTGTGTAAAATTGAGTTTGATAGCTAAAATAGTTTTTGAGCGATTGAGCCTCAAAGTTGACTTTTAGTGCAAATATTGTCAGAAAATTCAAATTCAATTTGCTCAAAAACTATAAATCTGGGAATATTGTAAATTACAGGCCATTTAGAGCTTTTTAAAAGCTACAAATGCTGAAAATTTTAATGCAATTTGCTCAACGGATATCGAGCAATTGAGGTTTGAATATTTTGAAATCAGAATTCAATTTTTTTTTATTTTTCAGTTTTGCTCAATTTTGACTTCATTAATTGATAAAGCGGGTCAAAATTAGTGGAAAACTACCCTGACATCAATTCTAAATGACCATTTTAAACAGTAACAAAAATAAAAAGAAAATCTTATTTTTGGCTCTGGAAAATTTTTAAATATTGACATGGTCATGAACAATTGCCTACATCTTTGGTAAATTTTGAGCAAATTGAATTAAATTATATACTATTGGAAAGAGCATTAAATTCTCTATAAAGCAGTGCAAAATTGAGTTTGATAGCTCGAATAGTTTTAGAACAATTGAGCCTCAAATTTGACTTTTAGTCCAAATTTTGTCAGAAATTTCAAATTCAATTTGCTCAAAAACTATAATTCTGAAAATATTGTAAATTACAGGCCATTTAGAGCTTGATAAAAGCTACAAATTCTGGAAATTTTAATGCAATTTGCTCAACCGTTATCGAGCAATTGAGGTTTGAATATTTTGAAATCAGAATTCAAAGGGGTTACCCCTATGAAAATTTCGATTTTTTTATTTTTCAGTTTTGCTCAATTTTGACTTCATTAATCGATAAAGCGGGTCAAAATTAGTGGAAAACAACCCTGACATCAATTCTAAATGACCATTTTAAGCAGTAACAAAAATAAAAAGGAAATCCTATTTTTGGCTCTGGAGAATTTCAAAATCTTGACATGGTCATGAACAATTGCCCATATCCTTGGTAAATTTTGAGCAAATTGAATTAAATTATATACTATTGGAAAGAGCATTAAATTCTCTATAAATCGGTGCAAAATTGAGTTTGATAGCTCAAATAGTTTTAGAGAAATTGAGCCTCAAAATTGACTTTTAGTCTAAATTTTACTCAATTTGTACAAAAACTATAAATCTGGAAATATTGTAAATTACAGGCCATTTAGAGCTTGATAAAAGCTACAAATTCTGGAAATTTTAATGCAATTTGCTCAACCGTTATCGAGCAATTGAGGTTTGAATATTTTGAAATCAGAATTCAAAGGGGTTACCCCTATGAAAATTTCGATTTTTTTATTTTTCAGTTTTGCTCAATTTTGACTTCATTAATCGATAAAGCGGGTCAAAATAAGTGGAAAACTACCCTGACATCAATTCTAAATGACCATTTTAAGGAGAAACAAAAATAAAAAGAAAATCCTATTTTTGGCTTTGGAGAATTTCAAAATCTTGACATGGTCATGAACAATTGCCCATATCCTTGGTAAATTTTGAGCAAATTGAATTAAATTATATACTATTGGAAAGAGCATTAAATTCTCTATAAATCAGTGCAAAATTGAGTTTGATAGCTCAAATAGTTTTAGAGAAATTGAGCCTCAAAATTGACTTTTAGTCTAAATTTTACTCAATTTGTACAAAAACTATAAATCTGGAAATATTGTAAATTACAGGCCATTTAGAGCTTGATAAAAGCTACAAATTCTGGAAATTTTAATGCAATTTGCTCAACGGATATCGAGCAATTGAGGTTTGAATATTTTGAAATCAGAATTCAATTTTTTTTTATTTTTCAGTTTTGCTCAATTTTGACTTCATTAATTGATAAAGCGGGTCAAAATTAGTGGAAAACTACCCTGACATCAATTCTAAATGACCATTTTAAACAGTAACAAAAATAAAAAGAAAATCTTATTTTTGGCTCTGGAAAATTTTAAAATATTGACATGGTCATGAACAATTGACCATATCTTTAGTAAATTTTGAGCAAATTGAATTAAATTATATACCATTGGAAAGAGCATTAAATTCTCTATAGATAAAATTGAGTTCGACAGCTCAAATAGTTTTTGAGCAATTGAGCCTCAAAATTGACTTTTAGTCAAAAACTTAGAATAGTAGGTATTTGGTTTGGGGTATGTAATGATGCATGTTTCCTCAAGTATTTCTGAAATGTTCATTGAATTTGTCGTGTGACAGTTCAATATTGACTTAATTTTTCGAGTGTGCTGCCTTCATACAGTTTCCTGGCACAATCTGGTCCCTGAATGGAATCTGCAAAAAATCTAGGTATGAAACAGAGTTTGTCCTGCATTGGTAAAGTCCGACACCTGAAATTTGTCTAATGTTTTTGTCTTTGAGGCTGGTTGTCTCTACTACTGAGAAAATTGAATAATGGAGGATGGAGCACATTTGATTGTACCAAGCAAATAAGACAGTTATAAGTTCAAAAAGATCCCAATGTTGATTTTGCATAATTATTGGAAGTTTCACATGAATAAATAGTTTGGAATTTGTGAATGAATTTCATATTTGTTTTTCCAGAATTTCTAGGTCTTTGCTAAGAATGACCGGATGGACAATGGATGGCGGAATCTTGTGATGTTTGCATGAAGTTTTAATTGCATGCCTACGAATAATCATCCTTGTTAAAAAAATTGTCCTTGTCAAAATATGGAATTCGTTGTAGATAGTTGACGATGTCAACTGCTCCTGGTGA